AAGGTCCCCCCATGACCCCCCCACGTCCCCATCCCTGGCACCACCTCCCTGGTGCCCCCCCCACCTCCCCATCACCACCCCTTGTGTCCCCATCTCTGCTCCCGCTGCCCCCCCACCCATTTCCCAGTCCCCCCCCCACCCCCGGTGCCCCCCCCCCAGCCCCCTCCCGCCCCGTGTCCCCGTCCCCGTCCCCCCCGCGGCACCGACCTGAGGAGGGGGGCAGGGGGGTGGCGATGAGCCCGTTGGGGGTGACGGTGCCCATGTGCTGCATCTGGACGGCCATGGTGGCCATGGGGCTGAGGTAGGCCGAGTGCGCGGCCACCAGGGCCGCCTGCTGCTGCATCAGCTGCGGGGACAGCGCCTGGCACCGGGCACCGGCCCCCGGCACCCCCCCCGGGCAGCGGGACCCCCCCCCCCAGTGGCTGTCACCCCAGAGCCCAGCACCCCAGGGTCCCCATCCCGGCCCTCCATGGGGGTCCTCATCCCCCTGTGTCACCCCGGGGTCCCCATGGGCCTCGTGACCCCCCCCCCTCTCCCTCGTGTCCCCCCCATGTCCCATGGGGGCCCCCATCTCCCCTGTGCCCCCCCCCTGGATGCCGAGGCCGATCATCTCCCCGTGCCCACCCCCCAATGACCCCACCTTGGATTTTGAGCTCCACCACCTCCTGTCCCCACCACGTCCCCATGACCCCCCCCATCTCCATGACCCCTCCACCCCCATGACCCCCCTGTGTCCCAATGACCCCCCCCCATCCCCATGACCCCCCCCAACTTCCCCTCCTTGGACCTCAGGGTCCATCAGGGGTCCGTCTCCCCCTACCCCCCCATAGTCCCTGGGGCCACCCCTCACCCAACATGGGGTCCACCCCCCCTGCGCCCCCCCCGTGCCCCCCGTGCCCCCCCTACCGCCTGCGTGTAGGCGCTGTAGGCGCCGAACTGGAGGGCGATGGGGCTGAACATGCCCAGCTGGCTCGCCACCTGCTGCATGCGCCGCAGCCCCCGCTCCTTCTCCGTGTCCGCGAACTTCACCACCAGGCTGGACGAGGCGCCCTGGGGGGGCAGGGGGGGGGGGCACGGCCCCGCGTCACCCGGGCATGGACAGGGCAGGGGATGGGCAGAATGGGGATGGGGTGGGAAGAAAATGGGAATGGGATGGGGTGGGGTAGGATGGGCATGGGATTTAGGATGGGATGGAATGGGCTGGGATGGAGTAGGGATTTAGGATGAGGATGGGGATAGGATGGGAATGGGATGGGATTTAGGAGGGGATGGGATGGGAACAGGATGAAGATTGGGATGGGACGGAATGGGATGGGAATAAAGGTGGGGATTGGATAGGGAGGGGATGGTGCTGGGGATGGGATTTAAGACGGGATGGGAATGGGAATGGGATGGGAATGGGATAGGATGGGAATAAAGGTGGGGACTGGGACTGGATGGGGAGGGAATGGTGGTGGGGATGGGCTGGGATTGGGCTGGGAAGGGGACAAAGATTGGGATGGGGACGGGGATGGGATGAGGCTGGGACTGGGATGGGATTGGGATGAGATTGGGATGGGGACGGGACGTGGTGGTGCGGGGCTGGTGGAGGCGCTGGGCACAATGGGGATGCTGTGGGTTGGGACGACGGTGGCCATGAGGACGGTGCCGGTGGAGGTGCCGGTGGGGGGGCAGTGGGGGGGGCACGGGGGGGCCGGGGGGCCGGGGGCGTCTCACCGGCAGCGTGCGGCTCCCGTGCAGGGCGGCGATGGCAGCCTGGGCCTCGGCGTGGCTCTGGAACTTGACGAAGGCGCAGCCTGGGGGCGGCGGGGTCAGCGGGGTCAGCGCCCCCCCCGGGCCCCCCCCGGCCCCGCGGAGCCCCCCCCACCTTTGCTGGTGCCGTCGGGGCCGCGCAGCACCGTGCACTCGTCGATGGTGCCGAAGGGCTCGAACATCTTGCGCACGTCCTCGTCCGCCTGCTGCTTGCTCAGCATCCCCACGAACAGCTTGCGGTCCTCTGCGGGCACAGCGTGGATGTGGGGGGGGGCGCGACCCCCCCGGGGTGGGACGGGACAGGGTGGGACCCCCGGGATGGGACCCCGGGGTAGGGGTGGGGACACAGGAAGGGACCCCCAGAATGGGGACTCGGGGGGGGGACAGGATGGGACCCCCCAGGGATGGGAGCAGGGAATGGGACAGGACCCCCAGGATGGGCATCTGGGGGGGGACACAGATGGGACCCCCCGGGGATGGGGGTGGGGGCACAGGATGGGACAGGACCCCCGGAAATGGGGGCAAGGGATGGGGCAGGATGAGACCCCTGGGGATGGGGTCTGGGGGGGGTCCGGGAGGGGGTTCTGGGGGGTCTCAGGGGGGTTCTGGGGGGCTCCCGGGGGGTCCCGGGGGGGTCCGCACCTCCTCGGCTCTCACTGTCGGCCGGCTTCACCTGGATGGGCCGGTTCATCTGGGGGCGACAGCGCGGGATGGGGGCACAGCCCCCCCCCCCGACCCCCCCCACGGAACCCCGACCCCCCCCCATCCCCCCATCCCTCCCCCCCCCCCAAGATGCTCCCGTCGCCATGGCAACGCCGCGTCCCCGCGTCCCGTTACCGGGCAACCGCGGGGGGGACCCCGGGGATGCGCCCCCGCCCCCCCCCCCCCCCACCGGTACCTGCCCCCCCCCCCCCTCCCTCCGGTAACCCCCCGGGGGGGGGGATGGGGGGAGGGCACAGATGCGCGGTAACCATGGCAACGGCCGCGCTCCATGGCAACCGCCTCCTCATCCCCAATTTCCCCGTCCCGTTGCCCGGCAACGCGCTGACATCAGCAGCGCCGCCATAAACAATGACGGGGCGGGGGGGGGGCGGGGGGGGCGGGGGGGGCGCAGAACCCCCCCCCGGATGGGGGAGGGGCTGGGGGGGGGGCTCAGCCCCGGCTCACCCCTCGCCCCCCCCCCCCCGCGGTTTTTCCAAGCAGAAAGCGAAGGTTGTGCCCCCCCCCGCCCCCCCCCCGGGCCCAGATGGTGCTGGAAATGCCCCCCCCGGGGGTGGGGGGGGCGCTAATCCCCCGCTAATCCCGGGATCAGCCCTGGGTGGATCAGGGGAGGGGGGGCACTGGGCTCCGGGACCCCATCGCCCCCCCCCCCCAAAAAAAATCCAACCCCCCCCCCCCATGGCACAGCTCGGGGCCCCCCCCCCCGCCTCCTGCCCCCCTCCCCGGTACCATCCCCGCTGGGGGCGGTTGCTGGGGCGGTGCCCCCCCTAATTCCACCCCCCCCCCCCGATAAAATAATCCCCCCCCGCGGGATTTACGGCCCCCAATCCCCCGGATTATCCCCAGCGAAGCCAAAGCTCCCTGGGGACAGCGAGGGGGGCCACCAGGCTGTGCCCCCCCCCAGTGACGGGGACCCCTCAACCCCCCCCCACCAGCATCCTCGCGGCTGGGGGATCCCAGGCCAAAATTCATGGGGGGGGGGGGCGCTTAAAATGCTCGGAGCTACAAATAAAGGCAGCCCCCCCCCCCCGCCCCCCCCCGGTGGCTTTGTTAGCCCGCCTGGCAGCGCTTCGTTAGCGCCGGGGCCTCGTTAGCGCCGGGCCCCTCTCGGGGGGTTTGCCCCCCCCGGGGGCAGATGTTGGCAGAGGGGGGGCACACGGGGACACCCCCCCCCTCAGGGCCCCTATTTTGGGGTGAGGATGTTGGGGGGGTGAAGGCACCGGGGGACACCAGGGAGGTGCCTGGGGATTTTTGGGGTGGGGGCGAGGGGGGGCGGATGGGGGGGGGAGGTGCCCCCCCACCCCCCGGACTCACCCCCGGCAGCGTTTTCTGCTCGTGCAGGGCGCTCTGCGCCTTCAGGGCCGACTCGCGGGCGCAGTAGGTGAGGAAGGCGCATCCTGGGGGCACAGCGGGCGCTGGGGGGGCACGGCCCCGGCCTGCCCCCCCCCCCCCAACCCCCCCATGGCTGTGCTCCGGGGCAGGGACCCTGCGGGGGTGTCCCCCTGTGTGTGTCCCCCCCCTGCCCCCCCCTGCCTCAGGCCCAGCCCCAGGGCCTGGGAGACGCCGCGGGGCCCACGGCTCCGGGCACCCCCCCGCCCCCTACACCAGCACCGTGCGCCTTGCACACCTTGCACGCGCCTTGCACACCCATTGCACACCCAGTGCACACCCACTGGGCACCCATCGCACCCCGTACACAAGCACTGCACACCCACACACCCAGGGCACACCCACTGGGTGCCTTGCACGCCTTGCACACCCATTGCACACCCATTGCACACCCATTGCACACCCCCACCCCCATCACACCCGTCCACAACCATCGCACGCCCACACCCCCGTTGCACACCCCCACCCCCATCACAGCCGTGCACGAGCACCGCACACGCCAAGACAGGGGATTTGGGAACAGGGACGCGCTGCAGTGGGGATGGAGGATTGGGAACAGGGATGCTTGGAGGTGGCCAAAGGAGCTGGGGTCAGGGATGCTCTTGAGCAGGAGACAGAGACAGGGACCGGGCTGCTCCGCACCGGGCGCAGGACCTGGGGACTGGGATGCTCCGGAGGTGGCAGAAGCCCCTCGGGGGCTGCTCGGCCCTTTGGGACCCCCAAATTGGGACCACTCTGCACCCCCGTCCCCATCCCCAGGCGGGGCTGCTCCGGTCAGTGCCCAGCGCTGCCCCGCGGCACAGCTCGGCCTCCGCCGGTGCTTTCCACCCCGCCACTGCCCGAGCCGGCCTGGCAGCACCTCCCAGCCGGTCCCAAACGCTCCCCGAGGCCATGAGCTGCTCCATTTACTGGCCCCAAACCCGGCTCCCCGCTGCCAGTTAACCCTTGATGGCCTCGCGCCGGGAATTGCGGGCACGTGCTGTGCCGCGTCTGTGATTTGGGGGCCGCTGGCCAAGCCCCGGGGCGACACCGAGGGGGCGAGGGGTTGGGTCCCCGTCCCCCCCCCCTCCTTACTGCCGGGGCCGTCCCTGCTGTGACGGGGCCGTGGCTCACCCGGCTCGGGGCTCGGTGCCGGCGCGGCGCTGGCTCCCCAGCCGGTGACTCCCGCATTCCTCGCAGCCCCGCTCGTGCAGGAAGGGTGGGGAGCCTGCTCCACCCCGGCTGGCCCCCGCCGGTGGTCACGGTCCCCTCGGCGTGGTGGCTTGGAAACCCTTGGGGCTGAGCCTGGCCTAGAACAAGGCTGTGACTCCTTGGCCGAGGCAATGACCGGGAGTGACACGGCCAGAGGTGGCCACAGGGGACGGCGGCGTGGTCAGGAGAGCCTGGCGCTGAGCACCGCGGGTCCTCTCCGTGCCAAAACCCCACGGAACTGGGGGCTTGGTGGCCGGGTCCTGGGGTTGCCCAACCGTCCCCAAAGGGTCTCAGAGCCTGGCTCTGTCCCCACCAGGGGACACGGCTGCTGGAGGAGATGGGGAAGGGAGAAGAAGAGGCCACGGCCCCTTCCTGCTCCCTCTTTACCCAGTCCCAGTGCTGGTAAGGGGTGGCACTGGTGCCCCGTGCCATCTCCCTGCCCTGGGCAGTCTCGCCTGTGCCAGCCTCTCCTTATTTTTTTCAGCTGCTCGGACAATTAATCAGAGCCACTCCTATGGGATCCCAGCCCTCTGAAGCTGCCAGTCCCTGTCCAAATGGTTTTTTTTTTTTTGGTTGTTTGTTTTTTTTTTAACGTTTGCATCACGCTCCGGTCTCTTTGCTGTGTCCCTGCAGAAGGCCACTGCCACAGGGCCTCGCGGTGACACCTCGGTGAGGCAGTGCCACTTCCAGGGCGGATGCAGCAGCGGTGACCGGGATGGCCCTGCACCCACGGGCAGCCAGGGCTGGGCTGCGTGCCGAGAACAAGGCACACGGGGACCCCCCTGAGCCCCCCAGGAAGAGCCCAGGGGCTGGGGACGCTCCTGTCCCCCCCAAGGACATGGTCCAACTCCTGCATCCCCCAGCAGGGGTGGGGAGGTGGGCGAGGGGCGATCTCCATCCCGGGGAGGGGACAAATCAGCCAAGGGGCATTTGAACCACCCCAGCCCCTGGCCTGCACGTGCGAAGCAAGAGAAGGACGGACGATGCTGGCTGCTCCACAAACACCTTTTTGTAAAAAACTCTGCCTAAGCAGACCCCAGCTCTCCCACTGCCGGCGGGGCAGCGCTCTGCTCCTTGCTCTGCTCCTCGCTCTGCTCCCCGTGGGGCTGAGCCTGCCCGGGGGCTGCGCCTGCCCGCTTCAAGGCCCTCCGCTCCACCTGGGCGCAGTACTTCTCGGGGATGCCGGCGGCTCTGCGGAGGAAAGAAAACCTCAGGCACCCTGTGCCACGCCAGGACCACGGCCTCGGAGCAGGGTCCGTTTGGAGGGGACGGAGAGGATCCAGCGGGGTGGTGGTTCAGGGGGTCGGGGCACGGTGGGAAGTGGGGATGGGATTTGGGGACGTGTGTGGAAGCGGGGAGCGAGCAGGCGCTGATGGAGCAGCACCTGAGCTCCTGCATCTTCTTCTCCTTGAGCTCGGTGATGCGCTGGCTGCGCCGCCGGGCCTCCTCCTGCAGCCGCTGGAACTCCTCGAAGGCGGCCGCCCGCTCCTGCGCCCGCCGCTGCCGCCACTCCTGCATCTGGCGCCGGACGTCGCCGGCGTGGGCGCGCTGCAGGGCCGCCTTCCGCGCCGCCTCCTGCCTTCTCCTTCTCCATCTGCTCCTGCTGGGCCCTGCGGGCTGAGAAGCCCCCTTCCTCCTGTGCCTCCGCTCACCCACCCGCGTGGGCTTTTTGGCACCCCTCGCCCCCTTGCCATCACCACCTGAGGATGCGCTCGAACTCGTCGCGGTCCTGCTGCACCTGCACGCCCATGCGGTGCTCCCGCGCGGCGATCTGATCCAGGCGGCTCCGCTTCAGCTGCTCCTCCAGCTCGGCTTTCCGCCGCGCCGCCTCCTGCTCCTTGCGCCTCCACTCCCGCTCGGCCGCCTCCTGGCTGCGCTTGGCCCGCAGCGCGTCCTGCCCGGGGGGACAGCGGTGACATTGGGGGGACCGAAAGGGTTGGGAGGACTCCACCGTGGTTCTGTTGTTCGCTCCAGGAGCTGCAGGGACCCTGTAGAGCCCCCACCTCCATCTCCAACCTCGCTGTGGTGGTGTCGGGGAGGGGAGGCAGCGCGGTGGCACCCCACACAGCGGCTCACCTGCTCTGCCCGGTGGTCCTGGGCCCTTTCTTGCATGGCCCTCAAGCGCGCCGTCTCCTTCTCCTTCTCCTGACGGATCCTCTCCTGCTCAGCTTCAAACTTCGGCCTCCCGCTCCTACTTGGGACACAGCCTCGGGGCAGCTCCTGGGGTGCCCCTACCGAGCCCCTGCCCGTGCCGTGTCCCACTACCATCTTCTGCTTCTGGTACTCGAGTATCTTCTCGTCTGCCAGCCTCTCCTGCCGCAGCTGCTCCTCCTTGTACCTCTGGTTCTCGTCGTTGATGCGTTTGATCTCCGCCTGGATTTTCTTCTGTTGCTCCTGCCTCCGCTCCAAGTCCTGCAAGCGGGGCCGAGGGGCTGAGGGGTGGTGGGACCAGAGCCTCCCCTCGGGGGGAGGAGGGCTCCATGGCTTGGGGTTATTTCTGAGGATGTTTCAGCCTCCCCAAGAGACCAGGGCCTTAATTCTGCCGCCTGTTGTCTCCCCACCCCGGGTCTCAACACCCTTCCAGCGAGGTGAGGGATCTCCCTCCAGCCCCCCGTGCCCCCCCAGCTGCTTTCTGCCCGCTGACCTTCTGGTCCTCCAGCTTCAGCTGCTCCAGGTGCTGCAGCATCTCCCGCGTCTCCTGGTCCCGCTGCTCAGCTCTCAGTGCCCGCTCCTCCGCGTTCTTCTCTATCTGCTTCACCAGCTCCTGCCTCCCTCTGCAAGGAGAAGTCCCCCCCCGGCTCAGCCCCAAGCCCTGGAGCGGTGACACCAGCACGGACAGCAGGAGGGGGTTCTGGGGGTGCTGAGCTGCGGTGTGGGGCTGGTGGACAGCACAGAAACACCAAATTGTAGGGGTTGGAAGGAACCTCGAGGTCCAACCTCCTGCTAAAGTGGGTTCCCTAGAGCAGGTTGCCCAGGGAGGCGTCCAGACGGGTCTCAAATATCTCCAGAGGAGACCCCACAGCCTCCCTGGGCAGCCTGTCCCAGTGCTCCATCACCCTCAATGGGAAGAAGTTGGTGTAAAACTTCCTGGGCCCCATTTTGTGGCCATTGCCCCTTGTCCTGTCCCCACAGACCACTGAAAGAGGTTGGCCAAACCCCTCTGCCTCCCACCCCTCAGGTATTTTTACGCATTGAGGAGATCCCCTCTCAGTCTCTTCTCCAGGCTGACCAGACCCAGGTCCCTCAGCCTCTCCTCACAGGGGATGCTCCAGGCTCTGGATCACCTTTATGGACTCTTCCCCCAAACCTTTTTGCTCCAGGTGAGGAGCTCCCGGTGCCGGCACGAGGTGAGTGCCCCCCCTGCTCGCCTGATCAGCTCCTGCTTCCTCCGGCGCTCCAGCTCCTCCTGCATCTCGTTGGCTTTCTGCCTCTCCACCTCCATCATCTCGGCCAGCCGCCTCTCCTCCTCCTCCAGCTCCTTCGCCACCAGCTGCTTCTCCAGGATCTGCGTGTCGCGCACCATGTGGCACTTGGCCCCGAGGATCAGCTGCGGGGACAACAGCTCTGCGTGGGACAGACGGACGGAGGGACAGACGGACAGACAGACGGAAAGCCACCGAGGTGGAAAAGGGAAGGAGGGGACGACCCCGGGCGGCACCACGCGGAGCAGGGCGCAGGGCTCGTCCTGGCCGTGCCGTGGGGTGGTTGGGGAGGGTCTGGGGGCCCCCCCGTTGCCTCTCCACGTTGGGTGCGTGCGGTGCTGGGGGCGGACGGGCAGCCCGCGGCCGCACCTCGCTGAACTCCTTGATCTCGTCCTCCTGCTCCATGCGCATCCTGCTCGCCCGCTGCAGCAGGTGCTGGGCCCGCTCCTTCGCCTCCTCCTCCAGGTCGCTCAGTTTGCCCTTCTGCTGCTGCAGCGCGGCTCGCTGCTTCGCCGCTGCCTTGCGCTCGCTCACCGCCTCCTGCGGGGGACAGAGGGGCGAGCTGAGACCCTCCCGTGCCTCTCTGGAGGGGGGCACCCCCTGACTGGGGTGGGATTGCTTCCCCAGCCATGGAGCGGGCAACGCTGGGGACCCCACTCCTGGGCTGGGGGGGTCGGGGAGAGCTGAGGTTTGCCCCCCTGTGTGTGCCAAGACGTGGGTGGCACGGGGTGAGGGTGGTGGTCCCCAAGTGGCTCAGGCTGGGTGCACCCCCCTCTGCCCGCAGCCCTGCCTGCAAGATGGGGAATGCCTACGAGAACGGCTTCCTTCTCCGCCTTGAGGGCCAGCAGCTTGGCCTCGCGCTCCTCCTTGCTCAGGACTCGGGACGCTTCTTTGATCCGCTGGAAATCCTCCTGGCTGATGATGAGGGATGCTGCCGGGTTCTCCACGGGGACGCTGGTGGAGAAGGGCACGGAAAAGGGGTGTCACTGGCACTGAGCATCCTTCAGCCCCCTCCGTGCCCTCCCGGCCTGGCAGTGGGAGCTGCTCGGGCTGTGCGGGGGCAGGAGTCACCCCCGAGCAATGCAGGAAGCACTCGAGCTGTGGCTTCCCCAGTGGCCCCAGTTCTCCCGGTCAGGGGGGGGAAGAGAGGAACAGAAAGTGCAGTGAAAGCTGCGGCGGTGCGCGGGGAACAGGATGTGCAGCAGGGCAGGGTCCACCCGGGAAAACACCCAAACCTTCAGCACGTGCCCGGCCGGTCCCCACCAAACAACGCCAGGAATATTTCAGGCCAAGCCGACCGGGCTGTCATTTGGGGAAAGTGTCACCGCTGCCCCGACCCCTTTTTTCCAGTGGGGCGTCCTGCTCATCCCTGACCGTCGCTGGTCCCGAGCGCTGGCTCGAAGCCTCCGCTTTGGGGAGCAGCAGCTGCCTTTTGGCTGTGCTTGATGACACTCGGCACAGCCTGGGCTTGGCTCCTCTGCCCCAGGAATTCGCCCGGCACGAGAGGAGGAAGCGCCGGGGCCGGGTCCCCTCCCAGCGCTGCCAGGTGCCCCTCCAGCTGCGGAGCAGCCTCACGCAGCGAGCCACGAACCCTGCCCGTGACTCAGGCTGTGGCTTAGAGGAAATCGCCGAAGCTCCGGGTGCCCCCATTTCCCCGTGTGTAAAAATGTGGATAATAACACGGGGCTGCTTTCCACGCGAGGGGTAAGGAGTTAATTACGCCGCGCATTACTCAGGTACCATGGTGACGCGTGCGGTGTGGGAGCGTGCATTACCCAAATGCAGGCAGCACTTTGAAGATGCTCAGGACTAAGAATTTAGTCATTATTATTATGTGTCACCTTTCATCCACCCAGGTGAATATGAACAGATACCTGCATAATAATCGCTCGGGAGCTGCATCACAACATCGGATTCCAGGACGCTTGAAAGAATGGGTAATGGCCACAACGGCCCTAATAAATGTAATGACACAGTGACCACTGCTTGAGCTGTCTCACTGTTTGGGTGACCGACCTGAGATGTCTAGGGCCTGATTTTCAGGAATGAAACTGGCACAAAGAGTTTCCAGCAGCTTTGGCTGGAGCTGCGGCCGTGCCACACATCTGGAAACTGGCCCTCGGCTTTGTCAGGTCGGCCATAAAAGAACCCGAGCGTGTAAAATTGGGCACCAGCCCCGAGAGCCTGAACCGGTGCCTCTGCACCATCACAAGCTCCATAAAACCCAAGCCCAAACCGTCTGTGGGGCTGCTGTCACGTTTTATAGGGTGCAAGAGCATTACGCACTGGTTCAAAACAGGAAGCAAAGGCGAGCGGCGGAGCCAGCTCCAACTGCAGGGGAAATTTCGGAAGGTCAAAATTAGGCTAAATTAGATTTGGCTGGGATAATGGCACTATTCTTGTCCGTGCGCTGCAGGCTTTTAACGAGGCGTAGTAATTAAGGCCGGGGTTCTTACAGTTCAGCCTCGCTTATAAAACATCCCTGTGGAGAAACGCACGGCCCCGCGCCGCGCACGGCCAGCGGGCGACACCGCCTCCGTCACGGGGATTTTGGGCACGGGTTGGGGGGGAGCGTTTGGTGGGTGCGGGGGGGTGGGTGTCTCACCAAGGGCAGCCCAGGGGACTTACACAAGGTCGCGGACGAAGTCCTTGGTGATGAGGCGGATGGTCTCGGGTTTGTGCTCGCCAGCTGGCACCGTTTTCGGGGCGCTCTGCACATCCCGGAGGATGACGATGGGGGTGCCGGGGTGCGACTGCCGCAGGTTCTGCAAGGAAGGACGGCGTTCCCCCCCGGCCTGCCTGCCACCAGCCCCTGCCCGTCTCCGTCCCCAGCTCCTGGACGTGTCCCAACCCCCAACCAGCACATCGGGGAGCGCCCCTGATGCCCCCTGATGGAGCCCAGCCCCACCGCCGAGATTTTGGGCAAGGGAGATGCTTCTGTGCCACGGGGAGAGGTGAAAACACGCGGGGTGGCTGAGGTTGGAAGGCACCGTGGGGGCCACCTGGTCCCAGCACTGCCCAGCACCGCGTCCGGATGGCTCCTGGAGCAGCCACTGGGTACCGGTGCCAAGGCTCCATCACCCACCCGGCCCCCCCAGTGCTTCCCGCTGCCCCAGCAGAGCCTCCTGGGCTCTGGGTTTTGCCCAGGGCCTCATGTCCTGCCTCTGGGCACCGCTGGCAGGAGCCTGATGTCCTCTGTACCACCCCACAGGGTCCGTCGGACACGGATGGGAGCCCCCCAAGCCTCCTCTCCCCCTGGCCGAGCAGCCCCAGCCCGCAGCCCCTGCCCCTGGGCAGCTCAAGTAGCCCAGGGCACGGCCCTGCTCCGCCGTCCTGCCAAGCGCCGTGGGTGATGGCAGGAGCAGGAGGAGCAGAAATGCCCCCAAATTGACCCAAACTCGCAGCAGGGTCCCAGAGGGGCCAACTCAAGGTCTGGCTCCGCAGCGTGACTGGAACCAGTGCCGGCTCCTGGCCACAAAGCAGCCCGAGTGGCACAGGTCCCTTTGCTCGAGCTGACAGTGCCACCTAGTGAGGTGTCACCCATCGCTGGGGTGCCGGGGACCCCGCTCCACCCTTCCCTGAGCACGGGTGGGTGCAGAAGCACCCCCGGAGTTGGGCACACGAAGCCCCTCTCCCCGTGCACCACCTCTGGCTGGGGAGGGATGCGGGTACCCGCAGCACGCATGGGTCTGCACGACCTTAAACCCCCCCCATGGGGGCTCGACCCCAATTTTCGGAGCAGGAGATGCCTCCTGGAGTGACACAGTGGGACATACCCCGGGGAGGGGATGGGTGCAAGGTCCAGGATCCCAAAACCAGACCCGCTCCTGGGAGCACAACCGCGGGCACGGGCTCTGTGCCCAAATCCCCCCCAGGTGGCATCTCACTGCCAACATTTATAAAACACCAAAATTCCCATTTTATGGCTCTGATTGCCCCAAATCCTGGCTCTGCTGCTGCTGGCGAGTGGGGGCACCCCCCCCGGGTGGGCTCAGCCCCGGAGGGGGGGGGGTCAGCAGCACCCTGACTGCGTGCGCTCAGGTTCCCAGCGGCACCAAGCAGCCTCCCATCGGGGAGCTGTTGAATTATGGGGTTTGGCCCCGAAACGCCCGTGCCAAAAACGATAACGGCGTCAATCACCGCCACCGGCCCTCTTAGCCTTGGGGCCAGGAGAACTCCTCGGGCGAGGCCGGGGTTGGGCTCGGGGAAGCCACCCCGGGAGCCTCACATTTTTATATCGCCACCCCATTTTTATATCGCCCTGAAGCCGCCCGGGGGGGGCCGTGGCGCTGCCGTCCTGCCCCACGCCAGCTCCCCCCACGTCACAGCGCGTTTCCTTCCTCTCCCCCGAAAAGCCCCAGGAGTTTTGGCAGCCACACGGGCCCCGCAGATAAGAGCGGGGCCGGGAAGGAGCGCGGGGCACAAGGCGTGGGCGCAATAAACCCCGGCTGATAAACAACGGGGGAGAGGAGGGGAGGGCGAAGGACGCCCCGAAAGGTGCCCCCAGCCCCCCCCCGGTGCAGATGGGGGTGGGTGAGGGGAGTTTTGCTCCCCAGTGGGGGAAGGGCCCCTGCTTGGCCGTGCTTCCAGACTGGGGTTTTGTCCCCAAAGCAGGGGTTGTGTCCCCAAACCAGTGTTTGTGCCCCCAGCCCCAGGATTTGTGTCCCCAGGGGCTTTGTGCCCCCAGCCCAGGGTTGTGTCCCCAAACCAGGGGTTTGTGTCCCCAGTGTTTTGTCCCCAGCCCCAGGGCTTAGTCCCCAAAGTAAGGGTTGTGTCCCCAAAATAGGGTTTGTGTCCCCAAACCCAGAGCTGTGCCCCCAGCCCCCAGCTGTGCCCCCCTCCCGGGGTTGTGCCCCCCCCCCCCAATTACCCGGCTCTCCCCGAACAGCGTCTCATCCACCTCCGTGCTCCGGGCCCGACACCGGTACCGGCTGCGGGGCTGGGGGGGGGAGTGGGGTTACCGGGGGGGGCTACCGGTGGGGGGGTAACCGGAGAGGAGTTTACCGGGAGGGAATTACCGGGGGGGGGGTAACTGAAGAAGGGGTTACCGAGGGGGGGGTTACTGGGGTTGGGGGTACCAGGAGGGGGTTACGGGGGTGGGGGGTACCGGGGGGGTGTTACCGGGGGGGTCCCGGCGCCCCACCCGCGCTCACCATCGCGCTCCGCTCGGCGGCCGCCGGTCGCCCCGGTAACGGCCCCCCCCGCCCCCCCCCGCGTTCTCCCGGTAACGCCGCGCGGGCGGGGCCGAAGCCGAAGCAAGGGGGGGGGGGCGGGAGGGGGGGGCGCTCCGGGCATCGGGAGCAGCCTCTGTGTTTTTTTTTTTGGGGGGGGGGGGGGTAAACTCACACCCACGCGCGCTCGTGGGTCGCCGTGTCCCCGCGTGTCCCCCTCCCCACTCGTGCCCCCCCCGTGTCCCCTCACGCCCCCCCCCCGCGTGTCCCCCCCCGTCCCGCGTCCACGCGGCCCCGCCGCGCCAGAATGACGTCAGCGGAGACTGCCCCGCCCCTCGCCGCTAGCCCCGCCCCCCCGCCCGTGGCCCCGCCCCTCCACGTGGGTTGGCACCGCCACGTGCTGCGAGGTTTGGGGGGAGGGGGGGGGGGGGGGCACCGACCCCCGGGCTGGGGTCCCCTCTGCTGTCCCCCCCCCCCGGGTTGGGGTTCCCCCCCCCAGCCACCTCCCAGGCTGGGGTCCCCCTCCAGCACCCCCTGGGGTTGGGGACCCCCCCCACTAATTTCTGGGCTGGGGTCCCCTCTGCTGCCCCCCCCCCATACATTGGGGACCCCTCTGCTGCCCCCCCGATAGGGGCACACAGGGTGAGCCCCCCCCCGGGTGTTCCCCCCATGCAGAGTCCACCCCCAGACCCCTGGGGTCTCCCCTCCCCTTCAGTTTTGGCCTCGTGCCCCCCCCCAAAAAAAGACCCCCCCCCCCAGGTCCCCAACCACACTGACCCACACACTGGAAACAAGAGGGGGGCCGTTTATTGGGGCGAGCTGGGGGGGGGGGCTCTCCCCAGCACGGCCCCCAAGGCACAGCGGTGGGGGGCAGGGGGCCAGCGCGGACCGCCCCCCCCTTGCCCCCCGGGAGCGAAATAATAATTATAAAAACTCGAAACTTTGGTCCTGGAAATACTGGCAGGTGGGCGAGCCGTGACCCCGGGCGTTGGGGAGGGCGGGGGGGGGGGGCACGGCCCCAGTAGCCGGTTGTTGGTCCACGGGGAGGGGCGAGGCAGGGTTGGGGACCCCCCCCCCAGCACCGGGAGACCCTTTTGGGTGGCTGGGGGGGGGGGCAGGATGCTGCGGGGGGGGGGGGTCTCAGAGGATCTGGCGGGGCATGCCGTAGCCCGTCATGCCCGCCTGCGAGGCGCCCCGGTTGGTGCCCATCTGCAGCCCGATGACGTTCTGCCCCTCCTTCAGCTTGTCCTCGGAGAAGACGCGCCGGTTCTCCTGGGATTTCCTGCGGGCACCGCGGGTGTCACGGCCCCCTGGGTGCCCACCCACCCACCAACACCCCCCCCCCAGCCCACCCAGCCCTCTACCTACTTGGGGAACCAGTTGGGGTCTCCCACGAAGAGCCCGTCGCCCTTGGCCACCGCCAGGCTGCCCAGGTTCATCAGGGTCCTCTGCACGCATGCCATGTTCTTCCCTGCCGGGTGCCACCGCGGGGTTGTCACCGGTCCCCTCGGGGACAACGGGGTCCCTGCGTGTGTCCCCCCCACACCCCACCCCATCCCATCCCGGCCCCTCACCTTCCCACAGGTCAACCGTCTGGAAGATGTCGGTGGCGGCGATGCCGTAGCGCTCGGCCGCCTGCAGGAACTGCGAGATTTGCTCCATCTGCTTGAAGGCCATGGTGGACGCCTGGATTTTGGCCACCGGCCCCTGGCCCCGCGGGTACAGGCTGTTGATGAGCCGGCACAGCACCTGCGGGGACACATGGGGAGGAACGGGGGGGGGTCAAGGGAGGTGACACCGCTCCTCCCTGACCCCACCGAGTACCCGGTGACCCCTCCCGGGGACTCACGGTGCCGTCCTTGAGCCACTGCTGGAAGCCGTCGCGGCCGGGCGCGGGTTGCGGGATGTCACCGCCGCACTGCCCCATCATCCAGCGCACCAGCACCTGCTCCAGCTCGGGGTCGTACTGCCGGTCGATTTTCTGCTGCACCTCCCGGCTCAGCCCGTACGACGGTCCCCGGTTGGCCATGCCGACGGCTGGGGGGTCTGCAGGACACCGGGAACCCCCCTGTCAGCCCCGGCTAACCCCACGACCGCAGTGCCGCAGCCCCTTGGGGACGCAGGGTGACACGGGGACCTCCTGGCGATGTGGCAGTGCCCGAGCTGGCCGCAGGGGCCGCATCCTGCCCGGCCAGGCTCGCTGGATGTCCGGCACGGAGCCTTATCACCCGTGCCAGGCGCTGCCTGGGTGCTGCCCTCCCCTCCCTGCTTCCTGCTCGGATCCCTCCAGGGGCTGGGGTGCACGCTCCATGCACCTTGGGGACCCCCCAGTGCCCCCCACGCCAGCCAAAAGGAATCCCCGCGGTGCTGCTGCGCCGTGCCCACCCAAGGGCCCCCCCCCGGCTGCCCGAGCATCCTCATCCCAGCGGCTTGGCCCCGCCGAGGCGTGGACTTGGCAGGAGCTCGCTGCCGGTCGGAGCTTGTTTGCGAAGCTCGCCCCGTTTGTACGGGACGGGTGCCAGATCCGGGACCGGCCCGGGAGCCCCACGCCACCCCGGGAACGGCGCCCATCGCCTCAGCCTGACGCTGTGCCCAGCTCCCAGCCCGCCGAGCTCGGGCTCCAGCTCCACGGGGCGTGGGCGATGGCCTCATCCTGCCCCCCCCGCCCAACTCCCCCAGCTCTGGGGCTGCGTCCCCACCCTGGCAGAGCAACCGGAGCCCGGTGGTCCCCCACGGGTGGGTGCCGGTGACAGCGTCCCCGCGCCCGGTGCCACCCACGTGGGGCGGTTGTGCAAGGCGCCGAGCAGCGCCGCGCGGTCGGGGTGCTCCCCACCCTGGGGTGCTCCCGACGCCCTCCACCCACGTGAGGGGCACGTGGGGCCACGCATCGCCCCCTGCACCCGCTCCTGCTCTGGGGGCGAGGCCCCCGCTGCTCCCTTGGGGTGGGCTCAGCCCGGACCCCGTCCCTCGCGTGCCCCCAGCTTCGGTGCTCGCGTCCCCAAGGGGCGAAACCGCCCTGGTTCAGCGGGACGAAAAGCAAAAAAAAACCCAAAAAGTAGGGAAGCAGCTGGGGGTCGGTGCAAAACCTCAGCACCGCGACCACCCCTGAGACCACCGATGAGCGCCGGGGCACCCTAAAGCCTCGAGGGAACCCCAAAACCACGGGGTGCCCCAAAGCCACCCGTGGCCAAGCGAGCTCCCCGTGGCCGCCGGGGCGTGGGGCTGGGGCGCAGCCAGCGCCGGCGGGGAGGGGGGGGGGGGGGGGGGGTGAAAGTCGCTTCCCCGGGGCCTGGGAGCGCCCGGCCGGGGGCCAAGCGGGTTGGGAAACAAAAGAGGAGCTGAAATTGGTGCAGACAGCGCTGATTTCCCGACACAGCTGGGGCTTGCCCAGGCGGGAGGGGAGGGAGGGCCGGACCCAGCCCAGCTGCGGCGCGGCCGCCCTGGGGACCCCGCGGGGGCTTGCGCCCGGTTTTGGGGACCCCCGGAGTCACCCCGGGGGGTGGCGGGGAGGGGACCGCGCCCAAAGCCCCTGGGGATGTGGGAACCTTGGGGACCCTCCGGGCATCGTGGGGGTAAGAGGGTGGGGGTCTCGGGGGGTGCGGCTGCCCTGGTGACCCCAGAGACCCCCCCCCGGGGTCAGTGGGGAGGGGGCTTTGCCCAGCCCAGCGGGGACAAGGCCACCCTGGGGACCTCAGGGGACCCCCGGGGCCGATGGGGAGGGGACCGCCAGGCAGCACGCAGCCACCCCGGGGACCCCCGAGGGCAGCGGGGAGGGGACGGGACCCTGGGCACGACCACCCTGGGGTCCCCAAAGACCCCCCCTCGCCCCCCGGGGCCAGCAGGGAGGGGACCCTCGGCTGGGACACGGCCACCCGGGGACCCCGCGGCCACCAGGGAGGGAGGGGACACCCGGGGGGACCCCACGGGCACGGCGCGGGGGGCACCGGGGCGGGGACCGGGAGCAGCGGGAGGGGAGGGGGCTCTGTCCCGGTTTGGCGACCACAGCCCCGGCACGGTCCCGGTCCCCCCCCCTCCCAAACACCCCCCCCGGGGCAGCGGGGCCGGAAGCCGCACCCGGCTCCCGTTTCCCGGGCGCGGCCGCGAGTCCCGGCGGCTCCCCCGGGGCCGTTACCGGGGGGGCGGGGGCACCGGGACAGCCCCGGGGGCACCGGGACGGGGCGGCCCCGGCCATTTTAGGACAGCGCAAACGGAGCCGGTCCCGATCCCGGTGCCGTTTCCTATCCCCATCCCTTTTATCCCCGTCCCCACCTGCCGCCCGGTTTAAGCCCGAGGGCGCCGCCCGGTGCCCGGTACCCGGTGCCCGGTGCCCTACCTGCGGTGCCGATCCCGCGGTCCCGGTGCGGCAGTGGCGGATGCCGCCGCCCGCGCCCTTTTCACGGCTGATGTCAGCGCGGCCGGGGGCGGCCCGGGACCGCCCGCTCCCGGGGCGGGTCCGCAGGGCCGGGAACGGGGCAGCGCCGCCACCGAGCCCCGGGCAGAGCCGCCCCGCCCCGGGGGCACCGGGACCGGCACCGGCACCGGGACCGGCAAAGGGACCGGGACCGGCACCGGGATCGGGACCGGGGTGGCCACGGGGTGGCCGTGGGGGGGTTGTATTGGGGTCAGGGGGGCTGTAATGGGGACAGGGGGGGTGTAATGGGGACGGGGGGGTGTAATGGGGATGGGGGGGGGTGTATTAGGGACAGGGGGACCGTGGTGGCAGGGACACGGGGGTCGTGGCGGTGGGCACGGGGCCGTGGCACGGACACGGTGGCCAAGGTGGGGACAGGGTGGGGATGGGGTGAGGGGACAGAGCTGTGGTGGCAGGGGACACAGGGGCTGTGGTGGCCGTGGTGGGGACAGCGTGGCCATGGGGTGGCCGTGGGGGGGACAAAGTGGCCGTGGTGGGGACAAGGTGGCCGTGGGGTGGCCGTGGTGGGGACAGGGTGGCCATGGGGGGGGGCCGTGGTGGCAGAGGACACGGAGCTTGTGGTGGGGAAGACGGTGGCCGTGGTAAGCTGTGACACGGCTGCGGTGGGGAGGGGGTGGCCGTGGTGGCTCAGG